TGCAGAGTTCAGAAAATTTCACCCATTAAGAAGATTCTAATACCAAATTTGTCAATAAACCCTGATGTTCAGCAAAGACAAGACTAAACATTAACTGGCATTGGCTTTTGCCACACTTAGAATTAACAGTGTATCCATGAGATGAAAAGTAATAGCACTCCCCACTATTGAGATGTCTCAAGCTGATTTTTGCCAACGTCATACATCATGGAGGCACTGAATTCCTAATTTTTTTGTGTTTATTCCATCTACCCAATTTATAGACCTGGTTTGTAGGAATTTAATAAAATGCCATCTGTCCTCCAAGTGCAGACAAAAATAGAAACTGATGATGCTTCTGGTCATTTTTTAAAAAATGTAATTGTTGCCTTATCTTCAAAACTGTGAAATACTTTCATCTTTAGGCATATAGCATCTTATTATAAACAGGTATTAAAATAGGTAAAACAAATACATTTCATTATTCCAGTAAGGACAGGATCATCATGTGGTTTTTTTTTTGTTTTTTTTTTTTAGTACGTTTACCTTATTTTTCTTCTCCCTTGCTCATTATGGTTGATTTACACAAGATTTATTGATACCTATCAGGAATTTTTGCCAACATCTGAAACTTAATGCAGAAAAGTAAACCAACAATTCTCCTTTCTTACTAATACGCATCTGCCATTGTCCACATGAAAACCTTGTGGTCAAAACCTTAAGATTTTTTTTTTGACTCTATGTCAAGCTCCACACTTAATCAAGTGTCTTATTAAACCATCCTGTCCATTGTTTCCTAGAGTTAGCCACAGTTTCAAATGGGAAACAAAAGAATGACACTAGTTTCCTTCCTTCCAGCTCTAACCAAAACCCGCAGCCTCCCCTCTGAGATCTGAAAGGAAAAGATAGCAGGAAAGAGGAAGAGAAGTTACCAAAAAAGGGAAGCAGTAGTATAAAATGTGTTCTGATAGTGTTTATACCACACCTTAAGTAGAGAGTAGGACTAAACCATTTAAAAAATTGTGCCATGTACAGGAGAACCACTTCAACCCAGGTGAAGGTTGCAGTGAGCCAAGATCGTGCCACTGCACTCCACCCTAGGTGACAGAGCAAGGCTCCGTCTCAAAACAAACAATTGCGCCATATAATGCAGACTGTTAGGGACTAGGGACATAGGCGATGCTGTCAGATCTACTTGTCCCACTATTTCTTAGCATTTTTTTTTTTTTTTTTGAGATCCAATCTCACTCTGTCACCCAGTGCAGTGGCATGATATTGGCTCACAGCAACTTCTGCCCTTCCAGGTTCAAGCGATTCTCCTGTGTCAGCCTCCAGAGCATTTGGAATTACAGGCATGTGGCACCACATCTGGCTAATTTTTCTATTTTTAGTAGAGATGGGGTTTTCCCATTTGGCCAGGCTGGTCTCGAACTCCTGGCCTCAAGTAATCCACCTGCCTTGCCCTCCCGAAGTGCTGGGGATTACAGAGGTGAGCCACCATGCCTGGCCTGTTGCTTGGCTTTTTTTTTTTTTTTTTTTTAGACGGAGTTTCGCTCCTTACCGAGGCTGGAGTGCAATGGTGCGATCTCGGCTCACCGCAACCTCCGCCTCCTGGGTTCAGGCAATTCTCCTACCTCAGCCTCCTGAGTAGCTGGGAGTACAGGCACGCGCCACCACGCCCAGGTAATTTTTTATATTTTTAGTAGAGATGGGGTTTCACCATATTGACCAGGATGGTCTCGATCTCTTGACCTCGTGACCCACCCGACTCGGCCTTCCAAAGTGCTGGGATTACAGGCGTGAGCCACCGTGCCTGGCCCTTTTTTTTTTTTTTTTTTTTTTTTTTTTTAACTGAGATGGAGTCTTACTCTGTCATCCAGGCTAGAGTGCAGTGGTGCAAACTTGGCTCACTGCAACCTCTGTCTCCTGGGTTCAAGCAATTCTCCTGTTTCAGCCTCCTTAGTAGCTGGGACTACAGTCACACACTACCATGCCTGGCTATTTTTGTATTTTTAGTAGAGATAGGGTTTCACCATATTGTTTAGGATGGTCTGGAATTCCTGACCTCAGGTGATCCACCTGCCTCAGCCACACAAAGTGCTGGGATTGCAGGCATGAGCCACATGCCCACCTCTTAGCATTCTTATGCCCCTTTTTCCTCATCTATAAAACAAGGATAACACTGCAGGCTGCCTACCTAAATATCCCTCTCTCCTTCCTCTTTATTAACAGAATTTCATTTGGTGGTCTCCCAGCCCCCCTCGAAACTAGCTCTGACCAGACATGTTGACAGAAGTCCTTCAAAAGAAATACCCACTGCATTTCTCTCTGGAAGGCAGTTGTAATGTCTTGAAAAGTTATATTATGATCTCAAAAATGAAAGACATATGCTAAGAATAGTGCAGAAAGAAGATAGAACGACTCTGGGTTCTTGGTGACCTCTCATGAAGTCACACAAAACTGAACTGGCCTCCTTATTGAATGGAAGGGAAATAAAAACCTGACTTCTTATAATAGGATTTTATTTCTTTCTTTTTCTTTTTTTTAAAGACAGGGTTTCACCATGTTGGCCAGGCTGGTCTTGAACTCCTGACCTCAGGTGATCCACCCGCCACGGCCTTCCAGAGTGCTTAGATTACAGGCGTGAGCCACCACGCCCAGCCCAATAGGATATTCTGTTACAGGTAACACAATCCTGATTACCATTTCAGAGTTACTGAGAACATTATTAAGTGTGATAATGAACATAAAAATGGTTAACACAGGGTTTAGCATATCATAAGCATGCATTACTGTTAGTAGTTAACACTGCCATTATTAGTAGTACTGTTATTATTACTGTTCTCCCTGGCTTCTTTGTTCTCTTTCCTACACACAAGTTTTTTCTGTTCCACTTCATTTCTACACACTTCAAATTCGGGCACTCATGATGTTACCTCTGGATTACACTTTTGGTTATAATCAACCCACAAAGTATTCTAGTTGTGCCTTGAAAGATAAATTGTTTTAGACAGGCAGAGAGAAGAGTGGAGGGCCTTACTGGTGAATATGCCAAAAACCCCATGTTTGTTCTTCAGGATTAGTGGGAGATAAGGTTGGAGCCAGTTTGTAAGGGGTTTTCTGTAAGTGGCAAAGGGCAGGCCAAGGAATTTGTACCACATTTTCTTGTTAAAAGATTAGGCCCCCACTTGCTTTTTATTTTTATTTTTTTGAGGTGGAGTCTCGCTCTGTCTCCCAGGCTGGAGTGCAGTGGCACAACCTCAGCTCACTGCAACTTCTGCCTTCCAGGCTCAAGTGATTCTCCTGCCTCAGCCTCCCAAGTAGCTGGGACTACAGGTCAGCCTCCTAAGTAGATGGGACTAAAGGCACCTGCCACCACGCCTGGCTGATTTTTATATTTTTAGTAGAGACTAGGTTTCATCATGTTGGCCAGGCTGGTCACGAACTCCACCCACCTAGGCCTCCCAGAGTGCTGAGATTACAGGCATGATCCACTATGCCCTGCCTACCTGCTTTTTTTTTTTAAGAAAGGAAATAGTAGGATGAAAGAAAAGTACAAATACTCTCTTTTATTTACTTGGTAGTGTTATTCAGCTTCTCTCGAATTTAGTTTGTTTGACTCTAACATAAAGAAGTTAAATGCTCTCAAAGACCCATGCCAGTTCTAAAATTCTAAGATCCATGGGAAATCATTGAAATAACAGTATCTAATGAACAGTATCTAAGAATTAATAGCCTCAATTAATATTAGCTCTGACTTATTCTTCATTTATTCTTTCTGTCAACAGAGTGAATTTATTTTATGTTGCTTACTTTCATATAAAGAACCTTGCTGCCACTTCAAGTCTCATTTTGGAAGCCAACCTTACCATAACAATCAGAATAATCTTCCTCAAACACTTCAGGAATTTGGAGCAGCAAGCCTTGGCCCACCCTGCTTTCTTTTTCTTTCTTTCTTTTTTTTGAGACGTAGTTTCGCTCTTGTTAACCAGGCTAGAGTGCAATGGCGCGATCTCGGCTCACCGCAACCTCCGCCTCCCGGGTTCAGGCAATTGTCCTGCCTCAGCCTCCCCAGTAGCTGGGACTACAGGCACGCGCCCCCATGCCCAGCTAATTTTTTGTATTTTTAGTAGAGACGGGGTTTCACCATGTTGGCCAGGATGGTCTCGATCTCTTGACCTCGTGATCCACCCGCCTCGGCCTCCCAAAGTGCTGGGATTACAGGCGTGAGCCACCGCGCCCGGCCTTCTTCTTCTTCTTTTTTTTTCTAAGACAGGGTCTCACTGTGTCACCCAGGCTTGAGTGCAGTGGTGCAATCATAGCTCACCACCGCCTCAAACTCCTGTACCCAAGCAATTGTCTCGCCTCAGCCTCCTGAGTAGCCAGGCCTATAGGCACACCATACCACGCCCAACTAATTTTTTTAATTTTTTGTAGAGACAAGCTCCCATTACCCCGCCCAAGCTGGTCTCAAACTCGTGGGCTCAAGTGATCCTCCCTCCTCAGCCTCCCAAAGTGCTAAGACAACAGGGATGAGCCACTGCGCCCGGCCCCATCCTGCCTTCATACCCCTTCGTCAACTAACTCAGGTCCCCGCCAACCTCCGCTCTTTCCGGTCTTTTCCATCTTTCCACATCTTACACACAATGCTAGACTCAAAGCTAAGCAGAACATTAATTTACAAATCAAATGTGACATAATAGTTCAAATGGCTTAGTAACTAATAAATACGCCATGCTTATTTTTAAAGTAGGTTTATTGGGTTTCAATTATATCTGTAATGTCAATCGTAAGAGAACACAGAGGAAAAGTTTTAAAACAATAAGGAGGTCATAACATCACCATCCAATGTGAAAAACAGTAACTTTGGGGGTTATTTCTTCGAGAGATTTTTGGATGGCTTTCAAGTAGCTGTAATCATTTTGAGTATTAATGTTATTCGAGTACACACTTTTTCCATATTATATTTTTTCAGACTCCCAAACCTCTTTCATTGGGGTGTATGGGCCTCTGCGCGGCCCTCACTGCACAGCCTGTTGTTCATTGGCGCTGCTTCCCGAATCCTGGGGCTTCATCATGTCGAGGAGATCGGGCGGACTGGAGAACGGCTCGATGCGCAGGGCCTCGAAGGCGTCACCTACCCGCAAGGCCAGCCCCACGGTGGCTGGGGCCTGCGGTCGCGCTGTTTGGCTGGTGAAGCCGCACTCGCCCAGTGTCTTGCCGTCATCCAAGAGTTGGTCGTCCTTGTACAGCCGCTGCTCGTCGGGTGGCCGCTGGAGGATTCCCTCCACGATGCGCTTCAGCTCCAACACCGTGCTGGACTCCTTGGCGTTCGTGAAGATGGTGGTCTTGCGGCGCCGGACCATGAGAAACACGTCCATGGCGGCGGCAGCCTCTCCAGTCTATACGCCGGCGCCGTCGCGATCCGCCCCTTTCCCGGCAGCCCGCGCGCGGCCGGCCCGGCGCCGCCCCGCCCCCTCCGGCCACGGCCCTGTTCTCCACGTGATCATACTGGCTTTCTATGAGACTACCTTGTAGCTACGTAATGTTGTGAATTTACTTTGAAAGACTGAAGACACGCAAGAAGATAAAAAGAATAATGGAATGAACATCCATGTATCTCACAGAGCTTAAGAAATAAAACATTATCAGGCCAGGCGCTGTGGCTCACTCACCTGTAATCCCAGAACTTTGGAAGGCCGAGGTGGGCGTATCACCTGACGCCAGGAGTTCGAGACGAGCCTGATCAACATGGAGAAACCACGTCTTTACTAAAAATACAAAAAATTTAGCCAGGCGTGGTGGTGCATGCCTATAATCCCAGCTACTCAGAGGGTGAGACAGGATAATTGCTTCAACACGGGAGGCGGAGGTTGCAGTGAGCCGACATAGCTCCACTGCACCCCAGCCTGGGCAACAAGAAACAATGTCTCAAAAACAAACAAACATTATCGATGCAATTGATACCCTCTGTGTAATCATCCTCATTTGCAGCTCCCTCCATCTCTAACATATGTAACCACTTTCTGAAATTTGGTGATTATTCAGCTCACACATTTCTTTATGCTTTTACCACATACGTATGTATTGCTAAGTAATATGTAATATTATTTGCATGTTTCGAACTTTATACAATTAGTATAACGAAATGTATAAAGTATTCTACAACTTGCTTTTATTTCCTGCTCAACATTATGATTATGGAAGTTGCCCATGTTGATTCATATTTGCTCAAATATTTAATAAACATGTATTTATATAAATATATTCTAAAATAAATATATAATAATTTCTCTTGTGTTCTCCTACTGTTCAATGTTTAGGTGGTTTGCAGCCATAAATAATGTTTTGACAAACGTCTTTCTGCATAATACATATATTTTTCTCATTTAGGATAATTCCCTGGTGTTAAATTACCAAAAAGCATGAACATTTTTAACATCCTTGCACATACTTACTGCCACACTGGAGGATTGTACAAATTTTTTATTGCCACCAAACATATCAGTTCCTTGTTTTATCACATACTAGCAGCTATGGATGATATTACTAGTTCTTTCTTCAACTTTGGCTAATTTGCTTAGCGAAAACTGGTATACTGATTTCTGGTGAAGTTGAAATTGAAGAACTTTTCCTTGTTATCTGTAATCATATGAACTCCTTTGTCTTTTCATACCTTTTGTCCATCAGTACTGTTGGAAACAGTGTTTTATCTTAATAGCTTTTTTATATAATACTATACTAACTCTTGTTAAATTAGCTACAGATACTTTTCCTAGTTTTTTTTTTTTTTTTTTGTACCCGGTTTAGTTTTACAATAATGTCTATATGTATATAATTAAAGGGTCTGATAAGTAATTCTGTTATGCCAGCTTGCTTATATGGCTGGGATACATATAATAGCATAGAACAGTATGATTGTAAAATCATTAATATATTATTAAATTTACAAATGGATATGTTAATTTGAAATTGACTACGTTTTTCGATTCTCTAGATAGTTTTGACTCATCCAATTCCCAGAATAGCATTGACAGAACTGCTAAATGTTGACCTCCATGATATTTGTAAAGAATAGACAGCCTTTAATAGCCTACGGAGATCTTTCATTTACATTTTCTTTGCTTCATTTATTATTATGTTCTCCTAAGGAAATAATTAGCAGGTCAAGTTTAAATGACCATTAAAATCTTTCAAATTGCATTTCACTAAATTGTCTAATGTTAGGAAAATTAACATTCAGTTGCTATTTCTGTATGAATTTCTTCTAATTTGAGGAACAGCCATTTGTACTATTTTTGTTTTTTCTTTCTCGAGACAGAATTTCACTCTTGTTGCCCAGGCTGGAGTGCAATGGTGCGATCTCGGCTCACTGCAACCTCTGCCTCCCGGGTTCAAGCAATTCTCCCGCCTCACCCTCTCAAGTAGCTGGGAATACGGGCACACCGCCAGGCCCAGCTAATTTTGTATTTTTAATAGAGACAGGTTTCCTCCATGTTGGTCAGGCTGGTCTCAAACTTCTGACCTCAGGTGATCCACCCGCCTCGGCCTCTCAAAATGCTAAGATTACAGGGATGAGCCACTGAGCCTGGCCCATTTGTACAATTTCAAAATAAAGATTTGACCTTTAAAAGCATTCAAGACTTAGGTTGAATGAATCAATGATTGTACTCTGAGAAGAAGAGTAAAAATAGGTAGTCATTTATTCACCATTCTCACACCTCCTCTGCTATGAAGAATGTCCCAGGTATTAGAAGTCTCCTTTGAAGCCTTATGGAATTAATATAGCTCTTAGAGGGTCAAAGCAACTCTCAGTCTAACAAGAACCGTTTATTGAACACTTGTTCTATGTCTAAGCCTGAGGCAGATGCTGAAAAATACAGGAAGAATGAATAGTGATCCTTCTAGAAAGAGCAGAAAGGGGAATTGTATGGTGAGAAACAGAGCTGTAGGTCAGTAAGCCAGGTTATATAATGATCTTTCATGATCTGCTAAAGAATATGGACTTTGTTTCATAGCAATTGACAGCCTTAAAGTATTTTTTCTTTTATTTTGGACATCCCATAGATCAATTGGCATCTTTAAAATACATGGACATGTTTGGTATAACCTTTGTTATATTCGCAGCACCATGAATCTAATCAAATAATAAAATGTCATTAGCCAGCTGCAGTGGCTCATGCCTTTACAGGGCTTTGGGTGGCTGAGGCAGGAGGATCACTTGAGCCAGGACTTTAAGACCAGCCTGGGCAACATAGTGAGACCCTGTCTCTTCAAAAAAAAAAAAAAAAAAAAATTAAAATTTAAAATTTAAAATCAGCTGGGTGTGGTAGAGCACACCTATAGTCCCAGCTATTGGGAGGTGGGAGTGGGGGTGAGGTGGGAGATCACTCTTGCACCAGAGGTCTAGGCTGCAGTGTGCTATGATCATGCCACTGCTCTCCAGCCTGGGCCACACAGCAAGACTTTGTCTCTAAAAATAAAAATAATGCAATGTCATCATTTCTTCTTGAATAAAAAATGCATATTAGAAAGATAATTCAAAAAGAAGTGTAGAAAGTGGCCTGGATAGAGGAGCTATGGATGAAGGATGGCTAGTGAGAGACAGACGACAAGAGTCCAGGCAAGATAGGAAGATTGGTGTTAAATGATGTCATGCTACGCACTGTGGGGAATACGAAGCTGAACAAGACACACCCCTGCTGTCAAGGATGGATGAATGAAAATGCCAGCTCCATGCTTGTTTACCCTAACATTACTCCTCTGGAGCCAGTGATATAGAAAGATATGGATAAGAGAAGATAGGCTTATATTAAAATCCTGCTGAAGATAAAGATTATAGAAAGCAATATACTTTTTGCTTGATATTTTCAATTTGACTATGCCATTTTCCATGTCTTTATATAATCAATTTATGCACCCTGCTGTTTGTGTTTTGGCTAACAGTACAAAATAAGGCAACGGGAACAATGCAGTCAGCAGTTGCCTGGACTTGTTAGCGGATGTGATTTCAGTAACTAACTACTTGCTGACTCAGAGACAGAGGAAAGCAAAAATCTCCTCTCCCTGTTCTGTGGCCAGCCGAGTGATAACGAGGCTGTCAAAGTCCACAGTGATGGGGACTCTTGATAGTGCTCAGCTTGTTTCTTTGTTGTGTCACTGGTTAATCTGAAGTTTCATTCTAAACATAAAGAGATACATCAGTCATGTAAATCATTGTTGGGGCTTTGTATCCGGTCCAAAAAGACTAGCCCTCCTTCCTTTTTCCATGGCCGCAGTCTCCATGGTTCACCTGATTAGTCGGGTGGCTCCACAGAGTGAGCTGGAAATTACCGAAGTGCCCTCCCCCAACCCTGTCAATTAGCACAAACACCCAGCACAGAGCCAGTCCCCAGGAGAAAAGGATTGGATTTGGAACTAGATAGGGTTGAATACTGGCTTTGTCAGGCTGAATGACCTTCTGCAAGTTAGTTAACCTCTTGCAACCACAGGTTTCTCACCTCTAAACCAGTGGTTATGAAATGCCCACATGAATGTATTCAAAATAATAGATGTACAGCACCTGGCACTCTCATGCTTTGCTGGTAGAAATGTAAAATGGTGCAGCCACTTTCGAAAACAGTTTGGCAATTTCTTAAAAAGTTAAACATAAATTTACCATACAACCCAGCAATTCTATGCCTGGGCATCTACCCAAGAGGAATGAAAACATATGTCCACACAAAGACTTGTGTGTGAATGTTCATAGCAGCATTATTCATAACTGAACTGCAAAAACATTATGCTAAGTGAAAGAAGCCAGATAAAAAAGATGACATATTGAATGAGTTTATTTACTTGAGGAAAGGCAACGCTACAGAGACTTAAAGTAGCTTAGATTTGCCTGGGGCTGGGGAACAGGACAGGAAGAGCAAATGGGCATGAGAGATCTTTTTGGGGTGATGAAAATGTTCTAAAATTGGATTGTGGTGAGGGGTGCACAACCGTAGATGGACTAAAAGTTATTGAATAGTACACTTAAAATAGTGACACTTTATAGTGTAGAAATTATATCTTGGCCGGGTGCTCACACCTGTAATCCCAGCACTTTGGGAGGCCAAGGCAGGTGGCTCACCTGAGGTCAAGAGTTCAAGACCAGCCTGGCAAACCCCTCCATCTCTACTAAAAATACAAAAATTGGGCATGGTGGTGTGAACCTGTCATCCCAGCTACTTGAGAGGTTGAGGCATTAGAATAGCTTGAGCCACCGAGGCAGAGTTTGCAGCGAGCCAAGATGGTACCACTGCACTGCAGCCTAGGTGAAAGAGTGAGACTCAGTCTCAAAAAAAGAAAGAAAGAAAGAAATTATACCCCAATAAAACTGTTTTTAAAAACCCACCAG